GGCACCACACACATGCAATCACTCACACATTCAACGACATAGACGATTTACGCCCATCACGCAGGGCTAAAGCCAGAGAAAATACCAGAGGGTGAAGTAGAACCATTCACCCAAACACCTTCCCTCACCAACACCAGGCACTACCCTTCATCAAAATACCTCCCCTCACCAACACCGGACACTAACCTTCACCCAACACCTCCCCCATCTACACCGGGCACTACCCTTCACCCAAACACCTCCCTCACCAACACCAGGCTCTACCCTTCACCCAAACACCTCCCTCACCAACCGCACCGCACTAATTTCACCCAAACACCTCCCCTCACAACACCGGACACTAACCTTCACCCAAACACCTTCCCTCACCAACACCAGGCTCTACCTTTCACCCAAACACTTCCCCTCACCAACACCAGGCACTACCCTTCACCCAAACACCTCCCCTCACCCTCACCGGACACTAACCTTCACCCAAACACCTCCCCTCACCCTCACCGGACACCAACCTTCACCCAACACCTCCCTCACCAACACCGGACACTAACCTTCACCCAAACACCTCGCTCACCCACACCAGACACCACCCCTCCCCCGTAGCCAGTTTCTCTACTGCAATTTCTCACCAAGGCTCAAATGAAGAGCTTCCAAAGGCTCGAGAAAGAACAGCAAGATCACGATGACCAGTACGCTGGATGTCTTGATGAGTAGGGACTTGTCCTTGACCTTGTACTGCAAAACACAACGCCGACAGTTCAGTCGCTGTTCAGCCTTGCATTCCCGAAGTAACATCAGTTCACTAAATTTACGTTGCATTAAGCTGGGTTTACACTACCAACTATATGTTGTCGAATTGGAGAATTGGACCAATTTCGCTAATATACAACCGACAATTGGCAGTGTAAACGCAAAGGTCGAGCGTGCAACTGGTCAATTGCAACTAGTTAGGAGATTAGAACATGTTCTATCTTCACCAACATGGTGTAATTGTTGTGGAATTCCGAAATTGGTCCAACTCGCCAATTTGACAACATACAGTCGGTAGTGTAAAGTGTAAACCCAGCTTTAGTTAAATGTGAGAAATACCAGGAAGCTTCACACACTGGTTACATAATTGCAGTAAAAACATGAAGCCTTAGCTGTAAGATAGTGGGCAAGAGAAATGTTTTGCAATACCTCCTGTTCCAAATGGTGCAGCTTGCTTTGGAAATCTTCTTCTATTCTTGTGCTGAAAATCGACACACAAAATGGTAACATTTTAAGCGTGAACAGTCATTCCATTTAAGGCGGGCTTATGTCGGGCTTGCGAGCCGACTCGACTGGAAGCAACTGGATTTCGAGCAACTGGAAGCGATCGCAGCGACTAGTTGCGTCCAGTTGCCCACTGTTCTATTCGAGCAACTAGTGGCGGCCAGTCGCAGGCAGTCGCCTCGCAGTCGACCGACCTAAGCACTGCAGTCGCAGTGAATTGCAGCCCGTTGCTTCCAGTCGAGTCGGCTCGCAAGCCCGACATAAGCCCACCTTTATGTCCGTGGAAAACATGTAAAAAATTGTGCGCTTCTTCTACACGCCTTCCTTCTACACGCCCTTCCTTCTACACGCCTTCCTTCTACACGTCCCTCCTTCTACACGCCCCTCCTTCTACACGCCTTCCTTCTACACGCCCCTCCTTCTACACACCCATCCTCCTACATGCCCCTCCTTCTACACGCTCATCCTTCTCTTGCAGCCATACCTCTTCTCCAGCTCCTCCTTCGTGATTGCGAGTCGATTCTCCAGGTCTTCCATCTTCCAGGAGAGTACGACGCGAATCCTCTCCGCCTCGCGCGTCCCGTACATTAGCGAGTTCCGTGTCCGCCGCCAGATGTCCTTCTCGTGCTTGATCTCTTAAATAATAAAAAAATAAACAAATAAAATAATATAAAATAATATATAATAATATAATTAAAATAAAAATAAAATTTTATACATATATATTTTTTTAAATCTCTGCAATGTGCACGAGGAGGGACGGTCACGCCACGGGTTACAAGACGACGACCATATGCTGGCATCGTCATGGCAACGGTTAGCAGTAGCAGTCGTCCAACGGTGTTCACCTCATAGTCGTACGTTCAGCGGTAAAACTAACAAGTTGGGCTCGCAAAGAAACAAGAGATGGCCGAGAGCAGACAAAATTAGCTCTTGTTAACCCTTTACGTCGTCATCCCGTACCTTGTACCTCCGGCGGGTCCTTAAACTGCAGATAACGCCGACGTCGGTACATGAATCGTAGGTGGCAGTAGGAGACAAGCGCAACTATCACGACGCCGATGGTCATGTGCAGCGTGAAAGTATTGAAGTTGATGCCCTACGACAGAATAACAGCATCAGTACAGCAGCTGGAAGTGTCGAGTGGGTCGGCGATATCGTAAACACGCGACTTGTCGTTTTTTTCCAAGAATGTGAAGTTAGAGCAGACAGGTGAAGCACAGAACAGAAATGTTCATCAAATTGTTGATGACATTTGACAATCAGAGACTCATGCTTATGCAACCATTTCCTGCAACATTTTCTCTCACTTCTTAAAGGATGCAATATAGCACGATGCAGAGAACAGAAATGGTGGCAACAGTTAGTCGAACGAAGTTAGCCATGCTTGTGGGAAACATTGGCCACGTTGCGTCTGTGTCACAGACCTAGCATCCAAAAACCGCCTAAGCAGCAACACTTCTACATGATCGGTGGGCCAAACAAGCCATTCTTCAAGACAAATTTTCATCCTTTTTCGACAATGGCGCAGAAGCTTTTCCTCCTCGCAGAAATGAATTTGTACCTTTCTTGAAAACTCCGAATTGGATACGATGATGACGTTTGGTGGATCGCCGATGGCCGTCGCACTGCCAGCGATGTTAGAGAAAATCACCTCAGCGATGAGAACGTGCTTTGGATCGAGATTGAGTGTCTCACACAACCTGCAACGTAGAAACACACCTAATCACACACACACGAACACACGAGTCGATATACAATGCCACATATGCCAGTAATTTTTTAATTACATGGAGAGAATATGGTGAGTGTGTCACACATGAGGTTATTGTGCCACACGTAGTGGTGAGGGTATCACACATTGTGGCGTCACCACATCGCCGTATGCGTCACGCACAACGGTGAGTCTGTCACATGTTTGCGTGTCGCATTTAGTGGCGAGTGTCATGTGTAGAGTGATGAGAGTGTCACACATAGTGGCGAGTGTGTCACACATTGTGGTGAGAGTGTCAGACATAGTGGTACGTGTGTCACACTTTGTGGTGTGCATGCCACATGCCGTGGTTAGAGTAGCACGTGTTGGTGAGGGTACCACACGTGCATGCTAGTGCGTGCGTGCGTATGTATGTTCTAGATGCTTCCGTCTCCACTCACCTGATAGTGACCGGCACGAGCAGCAGTATCGTCGTCACGTTGTCCATGAAGGCAGAGAACACTCCGGCAACCAGCAACAGTGTCGTGATGAGTGGCCACACCTGTCCCTTAGCTCTCTTGTACGCCTAAAAATGCCAAAAAAAAAACGTTTGACCATCACCAAGACGTAGTCTCATCGCTGTAGACCTTCAAACAACGTCAATCCGGATGGAACCGGCGTGGGTCGACTCGATTTTGTCACCGAGAAGATTTCGAAATTGCATATTGCAAATTACTGATAGATTATAATTGATATAAATTGCAATATTTTCGAAAACTAGCAAAAGTAGAATAACGTCTGCACAGGAGGCTTATAGCACAGAAATGCACGCATACATTCAGTGCTTGCAGGATTCCCACCTGAACAGCAACGTAGTCAAAGAACCCTGTCTCCATGAAGATTCCAACAATGACCATCATGCCAAACAGAAGTCCCAGTGTCTCGAAATCCAGCCACGTCATCACCATGTCGAGCGTTGGTCTCTGTGGACACGAACCACACTTGATAAACCGCGAGAATGAGCTTAAAGCTCAAAAATTATAGATATAGATAGTTAAGATATAAATATAATTATAGATATTTCATCATTTCAACATTGTGAAATGTGTCAGAATACCAGCACCAAAAACATTAGGCACTCCAATTAAAAAAAGAAAACAAAAAAATGGCCGACAGCAGCTCACTGGCAATGTTACTGTTAGATCATAGAACAAACCTCTCGAAGATATGCGAGAACTGCCATGGCCGCTAAAGCTCCCAGCATTGCCGCCACAGTCCTATGAACAAGCTAAAACAAATCCATTGTTAGGCAATTCATGCATGTGTGCAGCTATGATCCATTCCGGTGTGTCCATTATTTAGAGACAATCGCTATACACAGTCTGTACTAGACTGTATCAGGACAACACTGTGATAAATACGTATATCGATCTCTTAGTAATCTTAGAAATTATACAGATTCGGCAGCGGAATCCTCTTGCAATTATGTGGTGCTTACCTCAAAGATGATAAGGACGTACATCAAGACGAGTATTATGGCAGCGTAGACGACCTGACTATCAGGAGAACCTGCAACGTTGGCGTAGGACACAAGCAGGGTGGCAAGATAGTCGGACGTCGATTGTATCTTCAGCTGGTAGATGGCGACACTGTCACTGTAAGAGGTCACGGCAAGACCACGTTTGCTTACACGTACAGATTTTGTTACAAGCACAAGAGAGTTGCGCCCATCAGTGTTGCTATTAATTATATATGATTGTACCACTGCAGAATAGCAAATTACAAAACAAACTTGCGAATCAAAATCTTCACCCTAACATACACATTACTCGATTGTCTACGTAGTTCTGTGGTTAGAGTACGTGTCTAAAATTACATTCATACACTTTATTATTTATACATTATCTTTGGCAGTGTACTTCAAATGAGCTAGCTAAGAATGCTAACCACGTTATAGCATCACTTCGCACTATCACTCTCACCTGTCCTCTGTTATATTGATGTCAAAGAAGTGCTTTGCATCAGTCTGCAAGGACAGCGAACCGGCAATGTCCTCCTCATTTTTTAGTGCCAATGTCCAGAAGGAGCTTGCATTCTGAGAAGATTAAAAAAGAGATGATGTTACTGAACAATGCGATATCGATGACAGTGTTAAACATCACTAAATATAGTTTTATGATTGGTGTAAAGCACAATCACGTGACGGCATACACAAACCAATGGCTTGAACATAAACTTAGTATATATAAATAATATTAAACTAATATTTGCATACTAATATTACTTATATAACACATATATACATTACTCGAGACTATGGCTCATACAACGCGTAACGTATCATCGCACCTGCGTGGATCCATCCTTCATGAGACGAAGGACGTTCAAGGTGACAGTGTTGGCGAGAGAGTCGATGTCCTCAGCCTCGCTGACCATCGGTCCCTTCAGCTCCACCTGCAGGACGGAGGTCAGCGCGTCCCACGTCAGGTTAATACCTGCACGCGTCGTTAAGGAAACGCCACGAGGGTAGGGCGCGCACGAGTAACGACGCGGCATCTTTGATGCTACTTTGAATCGGCCGAACAGGGTCGAATAGCACCAAGGTTGCATAAGAATTTCGTCAAGATATCCAGAGAAAATGATATGCGTTACTGCCGTCACAGAGAGACATATGGTGTCACATAGAGCCATACATGTGCTTAGGTTAGACAATGAAAAGGGGGCGTGTTCCTATTGGCATCTACAATCTAGAATGGTGCAAGGGAGGGGTTGTATCATTGGGTTTTCTCCTCCCCCCTACCCCAAGAAAATTGCAAGCGTGGAAATATTTATCTGATGCACAATTGATGAACGTTCATTTTGCCATTTAAAATTCATCTGGTCAAGAACATAGTCAAAAGAGGATACTGGTGTCATAGTCCTTGGAAACAGCAAACTGAGACCAATGCATGTCTGACACGGGTGCCAGCGTGAAAAGTAACTGAAAAACACGGAAAAAAACTCGTTTTAATTATTTATTAAACAAAATAATTAAGTTTGAGTTATGCACAAGTACTCATCCACGCTATATATACATATAACACTCTATATAACCAAATAACCACTACTACTCCTACTACTTTATATGTATATATAGGTACATCATGTATATGTATTATATGATATACTTATCATCAGCCGACATACACCCGATGCAATCCCGATGCACTCCCTTTTTTTACTACTAATTTTTACGCATTCACTCACTACTTTTACGCACGCGTTTACTCCCGACATGTATGATTCGGCACCATGGTAAAAAATACACAGGAGCGATGAGCGATTCTCTCTTCAAACCTCCGAAATCGCTCCCGCGAGGCTTAAAATAGCTTCCTAAAATTTTTGACAAAAGCTATTTTTTAACACGGACTTTTGAAAAAGAGCTCCCGTGAAAAAGAAAGTATTTTTTTCCCCTGTTTGACACTCACGCAGACGAGCAGGACGGCCACTGAGAGAACGATCACTTTGATATTCACGAGGTACTCGTGCCACTTTTCCGGCAGCCGGCATGTGCAGCACGTCCAGAAGTCTGTCCATCCTCGCGCCCACACGTCGGACGCCTCACTGCTCCAGCTGTTGCTGTTGTATGGGGAGGTTGAGAGGGGATGTTAAACCACGGACTGTGGGGGAGACCATGGTACTGTGCACTACTGCAGGGTGCAAAATTAACACGAGTCTGGAGTCAAATACTCCCAGATTTACTGTCGGACTCCCTGATTTGACATATGTGGGAGTCCGTGTAATTCCCTAAAAATTCTGCTATACTAACTAGTTCGTTCCAGAGCACGGCCTCGCGGAATTACCATAATTTTTCAGCAAATCTTTAATTTTGAACTTCAGACTACAGACTCCCTCTGTTGAGGGTTCATTGGACTCCCTTGTTCAAAAGTTAATTTCTACCCCTGCTACTGCGTTACCTTGAGTGAGGGTTAAGACAGATATTTGTAAGGTGCGTTAAACTGTGGACTGTGGGGGGAGAGATCGTGGTACTACTTAGCATTACTGTGTTACACTGAGTGAGCTCTAAGATAGATGGTTGTAAGGTACATTAATCCACAGACTGCAGTGCATATCTCTGGTGGGACATAGATTATGGGTAGAGGTTCGTAAGGAATATTAAAGTGTAGAATGGTATATTCCATGATTTCATGGTCGATTGTGGTAGAGTCACATATCGTTACGCGCTGCCATACAGAGATTGGTAAAGTACAATTCACTACGGGCTGCGATACAGAAATTGGTAAGGTATGTTTTACTATAGGTTGTGATACAAAGATTGGCAATATATATTTCACTAGGAGCTGTGCTACATAGCTTCGTAAGATAAATTTTACGATGGGCTGTGAGATACACAAGCTGGTAACATACATAACGACGTGCAGTGTGGTAGTGAGTAGAAGTCATTATAGAGGTCATCGTTCAGTCGTGAACATGTTCTCACCTTCTCTCTGTCTTCATGCCACCCAGCAAGGGTGTCTTTTCGCTGGGCGCAGATAGAAGAGTCTCATCTTGCTTGCTCTCACTCTCCACTCTCTGCCTGTGCGACTCTTTAATGTAGAAAATGGTGTCCTGTCGATCAATTACTGGGACACTGAGAGAGCTGGGGGCTTCGTCCAGTGCGTTGTCTACTATACCCACACGTCTCTCCGCCTATCAAAAGAAAACGGATAGCGACTTATTCGTGGCTCTTATACACATGGATGCATGTTTATCTGATACATTGCACAGCTTGTGCACCTGACACGTTACATGGCACATCCATCTTATACTTGCATATAAGTTGCTGATGTTATAATATATAGTAATGCTTATACGTTGTAAATTACATGACATACATGCACCATACACACAAGATATAGCAGACTGTCTAGACTGTTTAATCACTTACCTACACTACTACTTATTTTACACTTAGCATAAGATGAACACATGATATTTGGCATTAAGTCACATAGGTTCTGTTCGCTAACCATATATCGTAACATTTTCATCTTACAACATACCGGATGTACTTAACGTATGTCAAAACCAAATAGCATAACATCTGTATTTTATATATATGTTACCTACACTATAACAGATAAGGTCTATGTCTCCCTGACCTCTGTTTGATCTGGCTCGTTCAGATCTTTCTGACTAACCCTAACCCTCGGTAACTATCTGATATGGTTAGGGTTAGGGTTAGGGTTAGGGTTAGTCAGAAAGATCTGAACAAGCCAGTTCAAACAGAGGTCAGGGAGACATAGACCCTACAGGCTACACTATGCATATACATATGTTAGATCATCACATTATGAGCTTAGTCTGTAATTAAAGCAAGAATTTCACACTATATGGGCACATCATAATTATTGAATGACAGTAAACCAGGCCATCCATGAGACCCACATATATAGACACAATTCTGCACTATTACCCTCCTCCTGAACTTATTATAACAGGAATAGGAACACACGTAGGTTGCATTACATTCTAAATTGCAATATAGCTTGTTTACGTGGGTGTCTATGTTACATCATGAACCTAGGCTATGTACATCGACATGTATTCAATATACATAGTTTATATACATATACATTTGTTTAATGCGGGACACGGTCATTAATATACGAATTTAATTAACACAGATACGAACGCCCACATGCTAATATAGTCACAGGCTGTACTATATCAGGCAAGCTATAAATTAACACGAACCATTGCCCTTGCAGGTTTGCTGAAGTCTGAGTCCTGTACAGAGAGCTAGACACACTCACTCATCATGCAAAAGTTGCTCGTAGGACTGATGCTCGTTTCTTTGGTATGTACCCAACACATCTATTTAAATATTAGGACTTGACTATAAAGAGCATGCCAGAAAGGCTGAAGTCGAGTTTGAGTTTACATAGTAGCAAGGATAAGACACATATATATGCACACATAGATAATGATAGGTTAAAGTTACCATTTATCACAGCCACAGTTTAAACTGAAAAGGCCTTTCATAGCAATAAGCTGCACCCGTTTTTTTAACCTAGCTTTAGTAATCTGTCCAAGACAGAGAGCGAGAGAGAGAGAGAGAGAGAGAGGAGGGGAGCTTTAGCCATTGCGATTATCATCATATAAGGAGAGATTCTATTTTTCAGCTGTGTGTTGTGATGGAGGAGACAGAAGGCAGAATGATTAACCACAGGACAAGAACTCGAGTGAACAGAAAGCTGCGCATGAAGACGGACAGGAGAAAGAACGTCAGGAAGAACACTATGCGCGGCAAACGTGACGTCGATTCCTCGTTCGTCAACATAAACGATGACACAGAGTGGTAGCTACGTCACGACACGCCGAAAACACGTAGAGTTGGTGACACTATAGAGCGGCGCTTTTCCGGCGACGACGCAAATCTCATCGCTTAGATGTCGCCAGTTAATCGTAACATTACCATGTTTTCCTGTCATTTATTTACTCGTCATCTTAGATTTGTTATAATAGTAACTGCCTGTAGATAAAGCACATTATCAACGTATTAAAATGTGTGTAGGTCACACTATGTGGAGTTTAACCAAAAATATTATGCCTAATATGTATAAAATAAAAAGCATCAAACCGGTATTAATGTTCTTGTCTACTAATTCATCATGCTTCTTTTATGTACAATTAATTCTATACCTCAGTTGCTTGCATCCAAATTTAAAGTATTCCATACGTTTCATGTCTTACACGCATGTTATCTGTGGTGTGGTTAGCATGGTCATAAATACGATTCTAGCTTTGGATAGTACAATTGCTAACCACAATAATAGATTATCATAAAATTTCTTTATCACTGGGAGACGATGACGAAACGTACAACCAACCCTCTCCCTATATCCTCGTGGATTCTTACCTTTTTGGTATCTCCCGACTCATCATCACCCATGAGGTCACCAGTACTGCCATAATCTGTAAACATTTTATTAGCTGTGTAAGTGTCTTATATAATATCATACACAAAATTATCATAAGCATCAACTCTATGAATGCATACGTGCAAGCTCCAGCATGGTCCTCCGTACATAGCCAATATGATGAACACGTGTTAAGTGTAACATGGATATTTTCAGGTAACACAGTCAAGCACAAACTAACTTGATCTTTGCGTTCTACTTCTAATCTAATACAGTTAAATTCACTGCGTGCTGCCGTAACTGCATTTCACCAAAATCTATAGAATAAACAGAAGATTTAGGACTTGAATTGCTGACCTCGAATATTCCGTCGTAGAATACCTTTTAATGATGGCCTATAAGCTAATTATAATCGACTTAAATATATAAGAAATATATTCCCAATGAATGATACGTGCAATACTTATGCAGGTAGACACATACTAGTGCTATACAAGAGTAAATATAAGCGCGAATAACCAGTAGCGCAGGCTACCACTCTGTTTCTTACACTCCTCTTCTCAAATTAAACCTTTACGTTGCAAATGGATGATCATTCGTAACTCACAGGGCAACTGTTACTCCTACCGCCATCACAAACACATCTATACAATCTAACATCTATACAATAGCACATATAATTATATATACCCTGTAGAACATTAAACAAATACTATATCTCTTACATGGCTAATAGTAAATATATACATAAGTGTGTACATACCGCTGCCTTTCCTACTCTTAATTAGTCCGTCACTGTCACAGAGAAAACCGCTGATACACGCACGCTTCTAATAACTACGTTACGGTACGCACCTGTCATTTTTATGGCCGGCAGGTCCTTACGCTTCCCAATACTCGACCGATTCCCGCTCGTGAAACTTGTTTCCGGGTCATCCGCCACCTTGACGCGTAGAAGGAGAAGACCATGAACAAACACCGCATTAGGGAGCCTGTTTGTATTAGGTCAGTTCGGTTTTTTGAAGCAGCAAACTGCACGCGAACATATCCGGTTTTTCCGCGGCGATGTTTACTATGGATAAGAGCGGCAGCGGTGCCAAGAAAAATAAAGCGCACGCACGACTACGTACTTCCAAGAGCCAATTACACATCGCCCTATACAGTCTGCTTACAGTAACCGTACAACGCCAAACGCTTTCCCTTGTAGTGCTATAACATTGTTATGGCATTTAAGCACTACGTATATTGTTACATTGTAATTATCACAGTATGATAAGCATCGCTGCTACGCTATCACCGTGCCTAATCACCATTACCCTCATTAAAAACACTCTTCATAATGAAGTCACGATGAACTCTTTCATTTATACTTTATAGCATATTCATCGCCACGGTAACACCACCGATGCTACGGCTTCTCGAATGGCGACGAGCATCATCAGCATGATGCAGGCAGTGACCTCTGCTTGGACTCATACCGCAAGCTACCCATATGACACGTGCAAGCTACACACGCGCGTGATACCTGCGGGTCCTTCACGGCAGCATACAAACTCGACTCGGGCTCTGCTCCGCGACGAGCGTCCGTCGTCACGGCAACGACATCCTCGCTGGCTTCGGGGAGCTCTTCGTCGGAGCGGTCCATCGCGAGGAACGCGTCGCCGGAGGCTGCAAAAACAACAACGTAGTGCGTGGACAGCTCACCCTCGGCAGTATGATGTTGTTTTCCATGTCCAGTAGTTTGTACGTCTCGTAAGCGTAAGTCGAACTCATGCCAGCCGCGTCGTTTGCTCCGCCGGGGACGGAAATATGTTCCGATGTTCGACCACCACACCGCGTTCCGCTCTCGCAACGATCGGAACGTGGCACGCACGATCAATGCTCCGCTATCCGTTATTCACTTCCTGAGCGATCCTCGATCGGAAATCGCCATTATTTACGCTGTCGGATGCGAGAGGCCCGGAAATGGAATCAAAACGCGGGGGAAAGTCGAGCGTTCGATGGCACAGCACGCACGCGTGTAATCGCGATCGGTCCGACTGCATCCATCGCGATACTCCACTGCCTCTCTCTGCTGCCTCTCTCTATGCTGTCTCTCTCTGCTGCCTCTCTCTCTGCTGTCTCTCTCTCTCTCTGCTGTCTCTCTCTCTCTCTCTCTACTGCCTCTCTCTCTCTCTCTACTGCCTCTCTCTCTCTCTACTGCCCCTCTCTCTCTCTGCTGCTTCTCTCTCTGCTGTCTCTCTCTCTCTATGCGTCTCTCTCTCTCTGCTGCCTCTCTATGCGTCTCTCTCTCTCTGCTGCCTCTCTATGCGTCTCTATCTCTCTACTGCCTCTCTCTCTCTCTGCTGCCTCTCTCTCTCTACTGCCTCTCTCTCTCTGCTGCCTCTCTCTCTCTACTGCCCCTCTCTCTCTGCTTTCCTGCTTTCTCTCTCTGCTGTCTCTCTCTCTCGATGCGTCTCTCTCTCTCTGCTCCTCTCTATGGCGTCTCTCTCTCTCTGGCCTTGCCTCTCTATGCGTCCTCTATCTCTTTACTGGCCTTCGTTCTCTCTGCTGCCTCTCTGTCTCTCTACTGCCTCTCTCTCTCTTGCTGCCTTCTCTCTCTCTCTATGCCCCTCTCTCTCTGCTGCCTCTCTCTCTGCTGTCTCTCTCTCTGCTGTCTCTCTCTCTCTACTGCCTCTCTCTCTCTGCTGCCTCTCTATGCGTCTCTCTCTCTACTGCCTCTCTCTCTCTCTCTCTACTGCCTCTCTCTCTCTCTCTCCTCTTCTACTGCCTCTCTCTCTCTCTCTACTTGCCCTCATCTCTCCTACTGCCCTGCTCTCTCTGCTGCTTCTCTCTCTGACTGTCTCTCTCTCTCTTGCGTCTCTCTCTCTCTGCTGCCTCTCATGCGTCTTCTCTCTCTCTGCTGCCTCTCTATGCGGGTCTCTATCTCTCTACTTGCTCTCTCTCTCTCTGACCCTGCCTCTCTCTCTCTACTGCTCTCTCTCATCTGCCTGCCTCTCTTCGTCTCTACGTTGCCCCTCTCTCCTCTGCCTGCCTTCTTCTCATCTGCTGTCTCTCTCTCTGCTGCCTCTCTATGCGTCTCTCTCTCTCTGCTGCCTCTCTATGCGTCTCTATCTCTCTACTGCCTCTCTCTCTCTCTGCTGCCTCTCTCTCTCTCTACTGCCTCTCTCTCTCTCTCTGCTGCCGACGAGACCACGAGGCCGGACGCGATCGACGCGGCATGCGGCCTTGAGCGAAACGCGGGACACGCGCGTGTTTGTTTTTACGATCACCGTGCCGACGTGACGGGACCTCCTGCGTCTGCAGATGACTGCAGTCGATGCGCGTACGTCTCGGACTCGATGCGCGCTTTCTTTCGGCGAGACGGACGAAGAACGCGTCTCTACGCGCCTTTGTATTGCTATCGGGGTGAAAAGAGTCTCAGAATCGAGGCTCGTCTTTAATCCTTCCGGCACGTAGGCGATATTCGCAACTCGCGCGATTTCGCTACGACTCAGAAGTGAAGTTGAGACCTTGCAGACGGAATTCTAGGCCACCAGACGTAGAATTTAAAATTGATACTCAAGACAAAGGCTTCACACAATTAATCGAGCCCAGCCGACGGGAGCGATTTTTTCAACACACACGTCGGAGCGCGTGACATCAAATTACAAGTGTGCAAGCACGCATCTCGTTAACGTGCCCAGGTAAAAACAGGTGCGAATTCTAGGTCGCGTGCTGCGGTGCAATCAGCGGTAAGAAACGATACTGCAGGGGAATGACTAGCGACCAGTCTCTCCAACCAGACACTCTAACAAGGTGCTATATCAATCACATCAACTGTGTGAATGAAATCAGGAAGAGTTTGGATTACTTCTTCGGCAAATAGAAGGCACTTCAAGTGTGTCACTTCCCGGCTCGACACAGAAAACAATGATCTTACACACGCACACACACACATACATATGTGCGCAGTACGTGTATATATATATATGATATATGATGATATATATAAGACACAGCTGACACTGTTGTGCCTCTTTCTCGCCCTATAAGGCACTGATGTTTGTTCAGACAACACACGCTGACAATAGTATCCTTACACTGCACATGAGATGGCTTTCATGCTACTGATCACGACCTAGACTCACATATAGCCATTTAGGGCCGAATCTGTACATCCACGCAAGAGGGAGCAGATAGTTGCAAGCGATGACCAAAGATCGTGATTGCATTAGGAAATTCTCGCGTAGGGGAGGAGGGGGCATTTGTCTTTCCTAATCAGGCCAGAACAAAATATGTGTGGTTACCGTTACATGCCAAAAAAAAAAAGGGTAGGTAGGTAGGGAAAACATTTTATTTTCTTGAAATATTTTATTTACGAACCATGTCCGAAGGATGTGCGTTGTGCCTTTTGAAGCAGGAACTGTCCAATTCATATTTTTTTTTTATTTTTTTATTTTTTTGACTTTAAAGAAAATTGACAATAAAATGTTTAGGGTCGCTGGGAATAAATAGGGGCGGTAAGGGAAACCATAACCACACCTATATTTTGTTTTGGCCGCGACATTGCATGTGAGATGAGGGGGGGGGGAGAGGGAGGATTCATGAGTTACTGCAGCTATGGTGTACCTACCAGTTCCAACACTCAGTTACACACACACACTCGCACACAGGCACACTGACACGCGCACGCACACTTGCACACACACGCACGCACGCACGCACGCACGTCTACATGCTCACATGCACTTGCTCACTCACACAAGCAGACTTTAATATTTTATCAATAAACTTAACTGCATATAAACATCACTGACAAAACAAACGTCGCTATACTAACAGTTGCATTTAATATCAAAAACAAGCATCGACGAAATAACAGCAGTACATGCGTGATTATCACATGGCAGACCGGTTCCGAGAATTTACACGTACGAATTCGTAATGATTATTTAACGGGAAAAAAAACTGCTATTATGCTATTATGCTTACTCTGCCAGCTCCACTGATGTACGGCCAATGAGAACAACTTACAAAAACTTTTAAATGTGTGTATACCCTGAATATTTTTGGCAAACAAAACAAACCATACAGGAGCCAAACGTGTCTTGGTCTTTCTCAGCAGTTGGCGTATGTAATTCGTAGCCCCTACGATATTCTAATCGTATATATAAGTTCCACAGGGAAGAATCCCCCCCCCCATCCCGAATCGCATGCTGGTATGAACGATGTGGGTCATACCAAATATATTCACCATACAGGCAAGCAAAACATAGCCTCAAAACGAACTTTAGAAACGCTTTGGCCATTGCACACTTAGATCGATGCTTTCTAATAGGACTTGCCTATCATGGCCAGCGTGAGAAAATGTTATTTTAACCCTCGCCTGGGAGTGCATATCCCTCTAAAATACATAAAACCCAAAATGCATACAATCAGGCAGTGAGTGTGTGTGTGTGTGTGTGTGTGTGTGTGCGTAGGTGCGTGCGTGCGTGCGTGCGTATGTGTGTGTGTGCATGCGTACATGAGTGCGTGTCTGTGTGTGTGTGTGTGTGCATGTGTGCGTCTGTGTGTGTGCATGCATGCGTGAATGTGTCTGCATGTTGCACGTGCGTGCATGCTTGCGTGTGTGCATGCAGACGTGCATGCATGTGTGAGTGTATGTCTGTATTGCTCCTACACTCATGCTCATGCTCATGCATGAACTTAAACAATGGCTTAGTTCCTTGAGCAGTGTAATTTGAATAATATGTTAATACTTTACTTGCAGCTAACATGAACATGTACTATAGACATATTAACATTGTCAGTACAAACTCCAAATAATATCTTACACAATTATAGAAACCTTACACGGTTTTTATGGTCCATTTATCAGCATCAGTACAAGCTCAAGGTTGACGTTATGCAAATACAGCTCATCACGCGATCGTATTCAAGTGACACATTTCTCGCTTCCAGAGACAATGAGCGATTTCACTAATTAAAAATATCGTTTCCGTGAACAAATGTAATCATTTTGAACAATAGAAGAAACTGATCATGAAACATACCATGCAACCAGTAGTCATGTATTTGATGAACAAATGCAAAGTATTATGCAATGATGCAAACAACCCATATGAATGGAGTCTATAACCATTTATCTGGCATCTAAAAATTATTTGTGTGAAACACCAAATTAAAGCAATTTCGTCACTGATTCACAATATAAGTGGCATATCAGGTATAACTCAACACATAAATGTGTTTTTTATACATAAATTAATATTACCACATTTGTTGGAATAACACAGTTAACACGTCATGACGTGTTACGGTGCACTGTGCACTAACTATCAAAAGATAGACATGTATACGTTCGTTTAAACGTGGCTTAATTGTTACTGAGTAGGAAAAGGAGTATTTTCGGAATGTAGGATTTGATTATTTTTATTACCTGGGAACCAGGATATGCGAGATTCATTTTTTTGTGTTTATGGAATAGAAATGGAAATCGTGATTTTATTTTTATGGGAACTGTCAAATTACATATTTTACCTAGGGGAATGAACTGCCTTCCCTCTCCAGCAAGATTATATCGTAATGGAGTGTTTGAACGTAAAACTATTATACAATAGGAAGTACATATACATTTGGATTTTTGGCAGAGGGCCCATACTCATGTCAATGTCATGACTCATGACTCAGAGTCGATAGTTTTGATACTGTCACTCATCGGTGGTAAATACAATTAATGTTTTACTTACTAATTACTATCATTTCATTATTAGAACGGCTCAAGTTCTTGCAATCCTAGAGTTCACTGTGTGAAATCTAGCGCCGACTTATAGATACACTAGCTCTACCCCTGGGCCCTATACTACGTGCTAGATACAATAATGTAACCCAACAAGAGTACAGAGTAAACCACCCTACTCTTGTTGGGTCACATTATTGTATCTATACCCCTACAAGCCCAGTACAGACCCTGTAGTAACACCCGGCATCTAGGCACGGGTAGAGCTGGTGCACTGTACTGTAGCTCATAGGGTCTATGTCCCCCAGGGTACTGCCAAAACGTACCCTGGGTACGATCCGGTATACCGGAACGTAACCTGGTAACTATCTAGCTGATATGGTTAGGGTTAGGGTTAGGGTTAGGGCAGCCCTCGACACTTATTTTCATATCTGGTTGTCCTGCCGGGCAACAAGAAGCAATTTTTACTTGTCCGAATTTTACTTGCATACTTGCAAGGTCCATTTTTGGGTCAGTGCATATATCGTATTACAGTATATACGTGGAAATTCATAATGAAATTCACACGACGTTTGTTTTGTTGCATCATCAAATAAGAAGGCACACAAAGTGAGTAATACTACACAGAAATATGGGTTATTTGATCAATATAGGTGAGGGGTGGAGTCAGGTAAATTCAGGTTAACTAAACAGACGTGATATGTAGGAATGCAACAAGCTGTATTACGTGTAGCAAACTTGGCAGCTAACATCACCAGAGATCATCATCATCATCATCATCATCATCATCATCATCAGCGTCATGGAACTGGGGGCGTCTTGACCGCTGAGCCCTGGTCCACCAAAGATCCATAGCTTTTCCAGCATCATAGGCATCCAAAGTAGGACCTTCCATGGACACCCCTAACAGACGCGTCATCGTTTCGGTTGTGAAGCTGGCTCTCCAATCGGACTTAATTCTCTTCACAGCTAAAAACCCCCTTTCACACACAGCTGTCGAGACAGGAATAGTGAGTATAATTTCCACGAGATGGAGCAGATTGCTGCACATTTCACCCAATGGGAAGATCACTGAGATGGATGGCAGAACTCTCGGATTGTTAGCCATCAGGACTTCTTCCCAAGTGAGCTTTCACTTGTGTCCATTCGTTTGCTGTTGCAGCAATATCGCACTGATGCTTAGTGCGCACAGTGGAAAAGTGCCTGGTCAGTGCTGCCACTTGTTCATTACTGTTAAGTTTGTTGTCGAATAGGAAAAGTTGATCGATTGAATAAATCACTTGTTGCAAAGGTACCCGGATGTTGACCTTTATAAAGCCTTTTAGGCAGGCTCGGCGATGTCTGTTTCTTTGTTGTGCGTAGAATTTAGTGGCAAACGCCCGTTTGTCAGGTTATACCTATAATGCGGTTGCAACACGGTTATCGTGCCTGTGGTCTGAACAGACAAGGAAGAATGTAGGTTTTGTTGTTTGTGAGCGACATCAAGAAGGCACGGAGTTTTAACGAAGCGAGGCGAAGCGAGGCGAAGCAAGCCACGAGAATAAAGACGCTTCTGTAAAATGACTAAAAAACCTGAGTCTTTGAGTTGATGATATCACACGTTCTCACAAGCAGCAACAATTACCATACACGACAAGCTCCTGTCTGTCACGTGGCCAGTCTTTACAATCAAATACCCGAGCTTGGCTGAGGATAGGGTCTTGATTCTGTAACCTACCATTCATGCTCTCCATGACTGCATCGATGGTGTTGTCGAAGTTGTAGGCATGTGGCTGGTAGTGAAGCAGCATCAGCTGCCTGTCTTTCTGCCACTATCTCTGCCGCTCTACACATAAGGTGCCTGCTGTTTGAGAAGTGTGCCTGGATGGAGTCAAACCTATATCTCTTGCACCCCTCTACAAACGCTGTTGCACCTGCTTTACTCTTCCACTTTTCACAAGTGCCATAAATGAGACCTAGTTGGGTAGACCAAGTAGACAGTAGTTAAAAATAAAACCCATTAATTTTTTCATCTTAATTTAAGTAAATATGATTTTATGGATAACATTAAATAAATAAAAACTTTATTAAACCGAACTTAATTGATAAAGTAAAAGGGATTTAAAGTAGCAGTTGAGTTTCAAATCATTCTTTCATTTTTAAATTTGTTTGGCATTTTTATTACATGATTAAAAGAAATGGGTATATCTACATATTTATTTTTCAAGGCGACAGTCAACATTAATAAAGATAGTGCTCAGCAATTTCTCCCCTCTCCTACTGCCCCTTCCCAATCGAATGATAGTCACTTTAAAGTAAGTTTAATTTATTACCATTTTCCGTGTCACGCAGACCGGGAAATGTATTTGCCCAGCTTGGCACCCATCCTCGCTTCCTCTTTTTCTCATACTCTTTCTTGCTTGCGGCAGCATCAGTCGTTTTCCGCTTAGGTACTTTGAAAAACTTGGCTAACTCTGTCTGCTTAGACATTTTCACCGAGAATGACATTCGCGATGAAATGACAGGAATCTGACACGCTGTGCGGCCGGCACGCTCATTGGGTGTCATTCCCGATTGTAGTTTTCTTTCCACAATTCCAGGAAAGAGTTTTCCTTCCCCCCTCACATCCTGCCAGCGGTGCCCACCCCCTACATATTCAGTAATAAACTTGCCCACGTAACTGAGACAATCAGTGCATTCGCCCCCCCCCCCCTACATCAATCAATGCCGCCACAGCTAGGAACGTGTACGCA